GGGCCAACCGGCTAACTCAAACATATCCAGGTTAGGTTGAACCAGCTTTGTAGTACAGGCCTCAGATCTTGGCGTCGGGGGTCTCAATAGCGTGTTGCACCGGCTGCACCGTCGATAGTTACGCCACTGGTGCTTGGCAATAGGCACGGGTGAGTACCGGCCCAATTCAAGCACTGCCTGTAGCTCGTTGTCTACCTTGCTATTATTGTAAAGTCATGTTGTTTGTATTTTTACAATGTTATGTTCATGAGTTATTGATCCGCGAAATTCGAATCTGTCAATAACTCAGCTCAGAGTATGCTTTGCGACGTGCATGTCCCCTCGCTCTGAGTGTTCTCTTGAGGTGTCTTTCACTTATGTGAAACCCGTGCCTATTGCCAAGCACTGATGTTATATCTTTACATTTTAGGCCAAGCTCAAAGTAAAAATCGATGAACAGCTCCATTGTTGTGGTTTCTGTGTTGCCGAACTGACCCGGAAATACATTGAGCTAATTGAAAAGTTTTGCGAGATCTAGCAATCTTTTTTTAATTTTTCTAATAAACAATTTTTTTTGTCATCTCCATGTCCCCTAGGGCAGTGGTCCCCAACCACTGGTCCCGGTCCGCGGGTCATTTGGTACTGGGCCGCAGAGAAAGATTGAATGAAAAAATATTTTATTAAAATATTATAAAATATTTTTTTATAAAAATATTATAAAATATTTTTTTATAAAAATATTATACAAAGATATTTTATTGACTTATTGATTATCAGTCTGAAAGACATTTAATTTTTCGCGTGCCGTGAATTATTAGTGATACCTTTTTCTGAACCAGCCCAACTCATGGAAAACCGCCCATCTGGCAACACTGACCGCGAGAGCAGTCTGGACTCTGTAACGTCATAACGCTGTGATTTTCGTTTGCATTACTGGTCTGGGGGAAGCTTGCGAGTGTGTGTGTCTGTGTGTTTGTGTATTTTTGCGTTTGTGTGTATTGTGTATGTTTCCCGGGGAAAACACTCACAAGAAACACCGGCTGTTGCAGACCCAGCGCCAGAACAAATCTACAGATTTTCATGGGAGGGCACACAAAACCGTCATGTGCCGCGACCAGTGGCGGCGCCAGAGATTTTCTTTTGGGAGTGCTGTGGGGTAGCTTGACGTTTCATAGAGGGTGCTCAAACATGTACAGTAGGGTTTCCCATTAATGTACCGTGCGAAACAGTTTAATTTTCTACTGCAACACTCCCCACACGCACACAGTACAGCCGCGACTGTTACAACCCTGCTGAAAAAACCAGCATAGACCAGCATGGTGTTGACCAGCATAGACCAGCATAGTTGACCAGCATATGTTGTGTTTTGGTCACTTGTATGCTGGTCTATGCTGGTATGCTGGTCTATGCTGGTCTATGCTGGTGACCAGCATACCAGCATAGACCAGCATACCAGCATAGAAGTGACCAAAACACAACATATGCTGGTTTTGCTGGTCAACTATGCTGGTCTATGCTGGTCAACACCATGCTGGTCTATGCTGGTGTTTTCAGCAGGGTGAAAATGTCTGCTTTATTTGGTTCTGTTCTACATTAATTTGTGAAGCAGCTTTTTCTGACATGAATGTGATGAAATCTAAATACAGAACAAGACTGACTGATGAACATTTAAATGACTCTATTAGAGTGAACCTAAGTGGGTACACTCCAGCATACACCTGTATGGTGGACTCCATGCAGTGCCAGTCATCTCACTCACTGTAAAAAAGAGTGAATGCACTTATTTTACACATGTGCCATAAGATGCTTGTAAGGTGGTGATTAAGAACATTTATGTGAATTTTCAGTGATGTACTTACTAAACAGGACGTTTCTGAATGGTTAGTTGACAAGCTGTTGTCCCTATTTATTTTACGTTAACTCTGTTTGTTGTTACGATGCTTGCTACTTATTCCGTTTCCGTTCATATTTTTGGCTAATTAGTAAGAATGCAATGTGTACAGTTTGTAACAGAGTTTGTAACGCAAAAACAGTGGTACATATATATATTTATATAGGGAGGCATTAATCTTTTCAGCATATGGCCGCATTGCGTTTATTATTAGTTTACAGTCCTTTTCTTCCAACATCATGCAACAAGTGTTACTGTTGGAAAGTTCAATCACTTTTGGTCATAAAAAGTATAACTCCAGATGCTTAAACACCTCAGTTGTCAGCAATGTGTGTAGTTTCATATGTGTTTTTAAAAGCTCAGTTATTGACTTCTTTATACAGGTGTACATGTGGAAATTCTGAACATGAGAATGTGTGCTGCATTGAGATACCAAAGGTAACATTTTTGATAGCTTCACTAAGTTGTCTGTTTAGAGAATACATTTTTCACATGTCATTCAATATGTTTATCACACTAGGTGTCAAGACGGATGCAGGAACTTGAGGACTCTGTGCGTTGTATGGTGGACATTACATTACATGTCACTTGTTAGACGCTTTTATCCAAAGCGACTTACATACTCAATACTGTGGACAATCCCCACAGGAGCAATTTGGGGTGAAGTGTCTTGCCCAGGGACACAACGACATGCTGACTGCAGTGGGGTTTGAACCTGTGACCCCCTGATCCGAACACCAACGCTCAACCCACTTCACCACACGCCTCCCATCCTGGATTGGAGCCTGTGTGCCTAAATGTGTTCTCCCTGCAGAATATATTTAATATATACAGAGCTGAATATGGGAGACTACAGATGAGGCAAATACAGCAGTGAGTGGTTTGTTGTTTATTTTTTTGTATGACTGAATTTGTAAAACGTATGCTAATATTGTTCATGAAAATAAATACTGGTGTATATGGTTTTATGTAATCTTTCATTTCATTCTGTCATTGTACATGGCGTTACTATTATATTATATACTACACAGCAATGGCATAACACACCCATTTGTTGATGACAAAAAAACTCCACACACAACCTTTTGCTTTTGAAATCTGCATATACTTTACCCATCAAACATGAATAATCATGACAAAGCTGTCAAGTTTAGTGTTAACACAATAAAATATACTGCTATTTCCGGTTTAGTTTACGACGGATATATTTTGTTATTGTTTTGACATTTGTAACACAAAAGCGATGGAAAAAACCCACAGCAACACAGTCTTAACACGACCCAGCGGTCTAGTTAATAAAAAACAATAATATCAAAACAAATTATTACTACTAACCTTATTGTGAAATTAAAACAGAACGGTAAAAGAATAGTTTCCGGTCTATTCTGAAGCCCAATCTCTGTTGATAAATAAAGAACTACGACAGATGTGTAATATTTAATGCAGCCAAACCATTTATTACAATGCATTCATGTGATGACTTTCAAAGAGTAAAGCAAGCACTGCTGAATAAAGTATGATTTTATCTTTTACGAAACGTTTTTTTCAAATGGAATGCAGTTGGAGGTCAACCAATCACAGAGCTTGAGGACTAATCACGGGGTTTGTCGAGCAAAGCGGAACGATAGCTGAGGATTATGGGTAGTGTAGTGTCTTCGGCAATCCTAAACTCCGAAAAACTATTTGTTTCTCCGAATCGAAGGGGAAAAATACAAAAGCATTGTACACAATTTAAGTTGTGTAATTAACACGGATAATCTGGTGTGTTTGAGTTGATGAGTAGTGCAGATATCACTGTAAAATCAATCGACAGTAAGGAGAATACTTACTTCCGGGTGTAAAATCCTCTGTTATCCAATGGGAATGGACGCTCACATTGTCTTCAACTGCCGCCGACATGGACCGATGCGGTGCTTCCCTGAGCGTCAAATACGATGGGAATACATTGCAATCAGTTGAAAGCTCTTTGCGTCTGTTTATGAAGCTGAAGGAGACTCGGCGCGTCACAACTGCACGCCAAAGGACCCTGACCAAGCGTCGCTATTGGACTATCAGGGAGTGAGACTGTGGGTGTTTCTCAATCGCGAGTACGCTTGCTTGGTAGCACATGTCTGCCGAGCATCTTGCTTCAGAAGCGAGGCAAGAATACTTCCTGGCATTCGGAAAACGAAGAGTGGAACAGGCTAGCAAGTGTGCAGGTGTGTGTCATATGAGAGGCCCCGCCTTACATCTTCTGCCACAGATTTGGGGAAATTGGTCCGTGGTGTTTTCTGAAATGCTGTGGTGTTTTCTGAAATGCTGTAGTGTTTTCTGAAATGCTGTAGTGTTTTCTGAAATGCTGTGGTGTTTCCTGAAATGCTGTGGTGTTTCCTGAAATGCTGTAGTGTTTTCTGAAATGCTGTGGCATTTTCTGAAATGCTGTGGTGTTTTCTGAAATGTTGAAGTGTTTTGTGAAATGCTGTGGTGTTTTGTGAAATGCTGTAGTGTTTTGTGAAATGCTGTGGTGTCTTGTGAAATGCTGTGGTGTTTTCTAAAATGCTGTGGTGTTTCCTGAAATGCTGTAGCGTTTTGTGAAATGCTGTAGCGTTTTGTGAAATGCTGTGGCGTTTTCTGAAATGCTGTAGCGTTTTCAGAAATGATGTGGCATTTTCTGAAATGCTGTGGTGTTTTGTGAAATGCTGTAGTGTTTTGTGAAATGCTGTGGTGTTTTGTGAAATGCTGTGGTGTTTTGTGAAATGCTGTAGTGTTTTGTGAAATGCTGTGGTGTTTCCTGAAATGCTGTAGCGTTTTCTGAAATGCTGTAGTGTTTTGTGAAATGTTGCTTTGACTTGCACTTCAGGGCCACCGTAATTTTTAGTGGCCCGAGCGGGCAAGTGGAAAGTACGTTATGCTGGCCTGGGGTGTCTAAATAGTGCTTCCGGGCCAGCGGGCCATTTATAATGTCGAGCCCTGCATTGTAATTCACCAAAAGCAATTGTTGACTGTAACGTCTATGCCAACCAACTGTAATTTGTAATGCATTTTACCATACTTTAATGGTCAAGTTCTGGCAACCACAGCAGCCCAAATGTTAACGTAAATGTCAAGTTTTCTTTTTACAGTGTACTTATATCTGTACATTTATTTTCAGTTTGCTACAAGAAGTGGCTTCAACAGACAGAAATGCAGGCCAGATTGGGAAAGGCTGGACGCTACACAACGGGAAACATTATGGACATGAACAAGGAAAAACAAAAAACACTTTCTTTGTTGCCTTTTTCTTATCATACATAGTGTTACTGTTTTTGTTACCATTTAAATATTGAATTCTATTTATTACTTTTATTTTAAATCAAATGCACCTGTTTTAGATAATATATTTATTTTGATGTGTAGGTTGGTTTGCAGGTTGGTTGTTATTTGTATAATTATTGTATTGTTACTGTGTATTTTATTATATTAACTAGCTATTTATTGCTATTTATTACATTAAAATACTGTTATGAACACTATACAATGTCTTTATTTTGGTAGATACCAGAATACATTACACAATGAATCTTTGTAATATATTTATGTTCTCTGGTTTAAATAATCATACCAGTATTTAAACAATGTATGCTGGTCACCTGGCATCCTGGTAGCATGGTATATTTAATACTATTATTAAACATAAACTGGTGATAGATGGATGCTGGTGACCAGCCCAGCATACCAGCATATTATGAACGAGTTTTAGTCATGCTTTTATACTCACTTATGTGTCTCTCCAGTGAAGAAACACAAGCATTATAGACTTCAGATGCATTCATCCTCTCACTGAACTCAGCCTATATTAATAACATAATATTAAAATAAAAATTGTTTTCCCTAACCCCGGAAAAATCATAATAAGAGATAACAAGTCGGTATTAAAAGTTTAAAAGTCATAATTATGCGTTAAAACAATCAACTTTATGAGCTGATTTAGTTATGAAATTGAAAATAAGTTTAATGAGACAAGAGGCAAAATCGCGAGTTGAAAAGTCATATTTATTAGTTTTAATTAAGAGATACATTTTTCTGAAATTATTATAATCATATAATATATACTATTATCTGAAAAAAATATTTATCTATGACTTTCCTAGGGGATATTTGTTTTTTTCACTGGCTGAAAATAATATGTTTTTCTTGTTAGGCTGTGTAATAGTCCTTTATGCTATATAGTTGACTGCAGGTCATGGAGAGTAATAAAGGTATCCGTAGACCTTTCCATGAGACATCTTTATTTACTTAACAGGTCTTCAGCCATGGTACATACATGCATACTAGATGCGGGCTTGCATACACACAGTACACTCCGCGGCCGCACCACATCAGTAACGTCCTGATAGTATATGTGCGCGGCACTATATACTACATCCTCCTTTCTTACAATGAAAGTTGCATATAACATTTGCTGTAGTAAACATTCTATAACGGTCTCAATATTAACATTGTTCACTTAATAACATAAGAATATATGAAATTATATTTTGTATAAGGGAAGGATATATCTATATATACATTTACTGTATTTATTTGAACTCCTTTTGTTGCTGTTTTGGGACATTAACATGTCAACTTAGAATCAGTGTATATCACTCCAACATCCTCATATAAACATGAGTCCTGTATATAAACAACTATTTTTATCAAATAGAGTAAGGATCTTAACGTATTAACTCTGTCTTAGCACAACCTTTAGCCTGAGCTAATTAGGAAATCTTTGTATCTCTCAGGTGGTCGAATAAGTCGGCCACATCTGGTTTTTCTTGTGCTCTGCGGTGATGACATTTCACATTCAACAGTCTCTGACGTGTCTGCATCTGGCGTGCATAGTTGATTGTCTTCAGGTAAGTCAGGTTCTGAGTCCATTTGGGCGTTGTGTGGTGTTTTCCTCAGATTTCTCCTGTTGCGCCTGTAGTGCTGACCTGAAGATGTGACAACATCATAGGAACGTGGCTCATCTCTCTGTGCAGTGACCAAAGCTAGACGCCAACCCTGTTCAGTCTCCATGTGAACAGTACTTCCTGGTTGCAGCTCAGGAAGCGGCCTCGTTCCTCTGTCATAATACTGCTGCTGCCTCTTCTGTAGATTCTCGAGAGTCGAGTGAACATCTTTAGGCACAGCAGGCTGAAGCATCACGGTGGAGCTCGGTAAGGTGCTCCTGAGCACACTGACCATCAATAGGAATGATTGTCCTTTTATTTCAAAGATGTCAGCCCCTATTTTAAGCCAAGGAAGCTCAGGAATGTCATGTGAGATCAGAGGCTCCCTCTGGTTTCTGGCCTGGAACTGCTGACATGTCCCACAATTCTCGACCATTTGTTCTATCTCTCTTGACATACCTGGCCAGTACCAGTGCCTTCTGGCAAGTGCTTTTGTCGGCTGCATTCCTTGATGAGCCACATGTAATGTTTGCAGCATGTCACTTCTCATCGAGCTTGGGAGGATTATCCTGTCACCTGCAAACATGATCTCATCTATTACTGACAGAGTATGTCTGATAGGCCAGTATTGAACCAGTTTAGTGTGTACTTGTTTTCTGTGTCGTGGCCAGCCCTGTCTGTGTGTTTCCTGCAGCAGCGGTAGTATTTCATCATTAGCTGTTCCACTTTTGAGCTTTTGCAGCATCTCAGTGCTCAAAGCATCTGTTGGCTCCAGAGCATAGACAACTTTCTCATCTGTGATGTCATCAACTGTTGAATGGTCATCATGTGTGACAGCTTGTGAGAGTGTGTCTGCAATCAGTAGGTCTTTACCTGGTGTGTAGATGACATTCAAGTCATATCGCTGCAGCTGGAGGAGCATCCGTTGGAGTCTGGAAGGAGCTGCTCCAAGCGGCTTTCTCAGAATGCTTTCCAGAGGTTTGTGATCTGACTGCACATCCACTTTCAATCTGTACACATACTGATGGAACCTCTTAACAGAGAAAACAATTGCTAACAGTTCCTTTTCAATTTGAGCATAGTTATTTTCTGTTTGTGTTAGTGCTCTTGATGCATAGGCAATTGGGTGGCCTTCGTGCATTAGACATGCCCCCAAACCATCTTTGGATGCATCTGCCTCTATGATGAGCTGTTTCTTTGGGTCGAAATAACTGAGTACAGGAGCTGTAATGAGAGCATCTTTCAGTTTTTTGACTGCTTCATCATGTTCGTGCTGCCACAGCCACACACTGTCTTTGCATGTTTCATGTCTTTGTCCCATGTCTTGTGTACGTTGAATAGGCGGTGTGCGTGTCATTTGTCCTTGTCGACTGTCTTTTCGACTATTCTTGTGCACTGCAAGTACAGACATCTCCTGGGCTGCTGCATTCATAGCTAACATTTGAACTTTGGCTATGGCCCTTTATAATGTGAGATTAGGTTCTCCTAAAAGTCTCTCTTTCAGTCTCTGGTCATTCATACTAAACACAATCTTGTCTCTGATCATGTCATGTTCTGAGGTATGAAATTCACAATCCTCGCTCTTTTGCCTGAGCAATGTCACATATTTCTCAATCGTGGTATTACCTGATATAGGATGTGCCCAAAACTGATGTCTCTCAAACACTGTGTTCTTCTTAGGCTGACAATAGGCTCTGAATGCTGCTAGAATATCATGAACAGTCTCTTCACCTTCTTCTTCATCTTCATCTTCACCATGTTCGCAGTAGCGTGGCGTGGGGAAAAAAATAGGGGAAGCCAATAATACGTCCTTTTTTTTGGGTCGGGGGGGGTGGGGTGTGTGTGTGGTGGTCAATGTAATAACGTAACCAGATGAGTGATTACAGCGCCCGGTATCATTTTACACACATTTGTATCATACAGATGCAGGACTTACACACGCCTGTTATCAAACGAACCGACAGGTCCGCACGCACTCTCCAGCCGAAACTCTAATAAGCATTCATTCAACTAAATCAGGAGACCTTTAACGTTTTACGTCCGATTCGCTCCTTTTTCCCTTGCTGTACACAGCTCCAGTTTGGGCATTGGCCTGTCATCAGATTTAATTTTTAGTTGCTGCTGTAGCGGAAGTTTAGTAAAATTATTTTTGATTAAATACTCCAAATCTCCACCCTCCATAACTGCACTTGCTTCAGTTGCTTGCTACTTTCTAACGGCGGTGAGAGTGGTGGAGTGACGCTATCTATCTATCGATTAGATTTATGATTCGAAAATTATAAAAGTAGGGTAGACATGTGGATATTATCCAGCTGAACAAAACGTGCATTTATCTAACAGGTTCGTTTTCCACAGGCCTTATTTCCAGCTATTTTCCAAAATCCTATGGAGAAATCCCATTTTTGTCGAGGGAACCCGAGCGCAGCTTACTTCCGGGTTTTACGACGCATCACTGCACCACTAAGTTAATGCGATTTGATTGGATTGTGAGGCAAGGGAAGCCAATGTTAGAAGTATTCGTTGTTCTCGCGTCCAGGAGAGAAGCTTAGAATGAAGAGACTAATGGAGTCTCTGGTGAGGTTCAATTTGGTTACTTTAATTAAAATGGCGCGGTGATACAACAAGCAGAGGGTAAGAGGAGAGACAGAGCAGCTGTTGCCTCGCCGGGGTGAAGGGGTGAAGAAAAGATCCCGAGACAATCCTCGTCAGCTGGTTATATCCCCTCCGTAGGCTCCTCCTCGAGGGCCGGTTCACCTTGCTGGGGGTCGTCTTCAATGTCCGTTATCACGCATAACAGAGGATTCAGACGTTGTACATTCATTGCATAACTCCACACACCTCTTCTCCTCATACTCTCTTTCATGACTTTTTATTTAATGCATTATAACGGCTGTAAATAGACACTTTAGTAATACCAGAAGTGCTTTTCAGCAGTTCTCATTTACGGCAGTTCTCATTTACTGTAGTCCCGGAAGTCGTCATATCTACCTACTTCTGTCGACAGAACTTATTAAAATAAACTGTACCTTCATTTAATATTCAGCAATTATAATATCTCGACTGGTGTAGTGTTAAGATCAGTAGGTTTTGGTGTGCAACACTCCGTGTCATTTTCACTTTACATTCACATTTCTAGCAAACATAATATTAGCCTCATGTTAAATGCTAACCGGAGATGAAAGATTTTCAGAATAAAAGCTTGGCATTGAGATTTTATGAGAACTTCTGTTTTTTTTAGAATAAAACAGCTTTTAAACTGACGGTATGTTTTAGACTAAATTATGCTATAAAACATTGATTTTAATTTCTAACAATCCCTCCTTTCACACCTTTTAAGGTGTGAACACAATACTGAAATCAATGAGTTCTTCATAAGACAGCTTTTAAACTGACTGTATGTTTTAGACTAAATTATGCTATAAAACATTTCTTTTAATTTCTAACACCAGCCGCCTCTGGCTTCCCTTGGCATGGCCCTGACTAATCACAGGTTGGCAGGGGCATGACGTGAGCCTCGTCTGATTGGTCAATCCCTCCATTTTTTTTCACCAAGGGAAGCCAATTTCGGCTGGCCTCCTCTCGCAACAGTGAGTGCAATCTACTGTTTCACCATAACATAGAGGGGCGCTGTTTACCTCTTTATAAAATACTGAATGAGAATGGGGGAGAGACGGGCCGGCAGCAACACACAGCAAAGAAGAATTACCGAAACTAAACTAAGTGTTTTTATTTATTTATTAAAATTATAACTACAATCCGAAAAAACAGCTGGCTTCCCTTGGCCTCCAGGAGAAAATGACAGCTGGCTTCCCTTGGCCTCCAGGAGAAAATGCCACTGCATGTTCGATGTCTAGCGTGTTGTAAACTTCAAGAGCCTCCTCTCCTAGTGCGTGCAGTAGTGATGGGAATTCCGGCTCTTCTTGGTGAGCCGGATCATTTGGCTCGGCTCACCAAGAAGAGCCGGCTCTTTCGGCTCCCAAACGGCTCTTCAGTTTACCACATATTATACCTTTTATAATTCAATCAAATGTAGCCTTGTTTTGACTAATGATTTATATGTGTACACATATCACTTAAATTATTCAATACATCCTTTGTACTGAAGTATTCAAAAGTAAAAATGACATGTTTAATATCAATTATTTGCTGTGGCCAATTGTTTTCATTGCATTTACAGACCCTTGTATCTCTCTGATACCACCCAATGAATGCACAGACTTGCTTGTCGAACCACGCTACACAAAGCAGATAGCAACACCTATAACAAAACCCGAGGTGACAGGGCTTTCAGTGTTGCAGCTCCTAGACTGTGGAACAGCCTCCCAGTACATATCCGGACTGCTGAGTCTATTGAACTTTTTAAATCTCAGCTAAAAACTCACCTCTTTGCACTGGCTTTTAATACTAGTTGAACATTACATTTTTACATTTGTATGTGTTTTTTTAAAAATATTTTTCTAGTTATTGTGCTTTTTATCATGTTTTTAATTATTGTTTTATTATTGTACTCCCATTGTGTTATTTAATATGTATTGCCTGTACAGCACTTTGGTCAACTGAAGGTTGTTTTAAATGTGCTATATAAATAAATAAAGATTGAGATTGAGATAAAAACTTAAGCATAGACATTTTAAAAAATGGGCTACTCTATCGACATTTTAAAATTATATTTAAAGAAAAGGCCCTGACTAAACAGCAGGGCTCTATTTCAGTATTAACTATAGAAAAAAAGACAGCAACAGCTGACATCAAATCTTTGCCGAGCCCAAGGATAATCATAAATAAATAACATAGTGAAAATAAATATATTGCAATGCTCAGTACAGCAGCATCCAACCGTCTCTAATCATAAAAAAACATAATAAAAATAAATGTATTGCAATGCTCAAAACAGCAGCATCCAACAGTCTCTAATCCTTGGATATTACATGTCACTCTCCCAAGTTGCCAGTGAGTACAAGTGGAGATGGTAATTAAAATCGATCCATCTCTCTTTTTAAAAAAGAAAAAAAAAAAAAAGAATAGCGACTCCCGCTCTCTGGGGACCGCACCTGTTAGCTAGGCTTTAGGCTAGCAAAACTTTCCTCCGTTTACCTCCGGCAAAATGACGAACTGGACCGACTTCTGACACCATGTAATAGTCCTTTATGCTATATAGTTGACTGCAGGTCATGGAGAGTAATAAAGGTATCCGTAGACCTTTCCATGAGACATCTTTATTTACTTAACAGGTCTTCAGCCATGGTACATACATGCATACTAGATGCGGGCTTGCATACACACAGTGGGTGTTTCTCAATCTCGAGTAAAGCTGCTCCAGAGCCACTATTTCAAGCATACTACGTCATCGAGTGCCGCCGAAGTACTGTTCCAATGTCCAGCATACTTGGAATTCTACCGAGCCCGGCGTACTTAGTTTGGAGAAATTTCGAGGTTGCCCATGTGTAGATTCCGTGGTCTTAAAATCCCCACAATGCTTTGCGCACGGACCAATTTCCCCAAATCTGTGGCGGAAAATGTAAGGCGGGGCCTCTCATATGACCAGTGGCGGTGCCAGAGTATTTTTGTTGGGTAATCTATGGTAGGGCTAACCCATACAGTTGTGGGGCTCAAGTCAGTATTTGCAATGTAATTACATACTCGCTATATCGCCCCCCTTGACAGTGAAACGCCACGCGTGAGGTTTAGATTATTTCCCTGTCTCAATCAAAATTGAACTGTATGAAATAAAACGGCACATTTGTCTTGTAGTAAATAAAAAGGGACCACTGTGAACGTGACGTATGATAGTACACGTTGAAGATCCAATGGGGATACTGAATGGCGGTTCCGACTGATCTCAATCAGTAAATCATGACGCAGACCCAACGTTTCGTTGCTCTGATTGGCTGTAGGTCTATTCAAATTGCATTCGGAGGCATTTTGATCTGATCAGTGCGGTCGCACTGATATTATAACGTGAGAGAATTTCCACACCTTTAGTGTATAAAACTCCCCCACTACTTAGACTATTCCTTGCACCCCTCTTCTAGCATAAGCCCGAATGGTCTCAACCATATTGCAATGCATCAGTAACGTGCACTTGTTGTTACAGCAGGATCAGTTTGTGTGTTGTGGACACGACCCGTATATTTTCGCAATCCGTGTTCTCAACATGCTTACTTTAACATAATTTTTCATGGTGGGGCTAAGGTGGGGCTAAGCCATTTCTTGGCATGGCTGTAGCCTACCCCAGCCATACCCTGGCGCCGCCACTGCATATGATATGACGCACACCTGCACACTTGCTAGCCTGTTCCACTCTTTGTTTTCCGAATGCCAGGAAGTATTCTTGCCTCGCTTCTGAAGCAAGTGACTCGGAAGACATGTGCTACCAAGCAAGCGTACTCGACATTGAGAAACACCCAGTATCACTCCGCGGCCGCACCACATCAGTAACGCTGGAGACGATGTAGTACATATGCCAGGCCTGTAGGTGGTGCTGTTCTCACAGAATCAGCCCTTGCAAAAACAGGGCTAAAAAAGTGCAAATTGAGCGAAATGAGGCATGGCTAAAATGCATGATCTGTTTGGTATTTTGAAAAAAAAAAAAAGTATAAATATGCCTTATATAGGTATGGTCCTACACTATATTATTAAAATATAGCATGATAGGTCCACTTTAAATCAACCGAAAAAAAAAGATGATGTGAGTTTAGGAAAACTCTAATCCAAGTAAATCGGAAAATTATGTTAAAATCTATCACATCCTACATTCAGTGTGTGTGTGTGTGTGTGTGTGTGTGTGTGTGTGTGTGTGTGTGTGTGTGTGGTGGGGTGTGTGGTGTGTGGTGTTGTGAGAGTGTGAGAGAGAGAGAGAGAGAGAGAGAAGAGAGGAGAGAGAGAGCGAGGGAGCGCGATCTAGAGGCGAACGAGGATCTCTACTAGCACCTGTCGACGTCTAGATAGGGGATAGTCTGACTCTCTCTATCCCTTTCATCTCTCTCTGCTCTCTCTCTCTGCTAGAGAGAGAGAGAGAGAGAGAGACGGAGGTGGGGCGGGCTCTGGATTGGCTCCTCCACCTCGGAAATACCGCCAGGTGCTGCAGCTCTCCCTGCCCGGCTCCTCACTCTCCCCCCCGGGCTGTCCTCTCGGAGCCGCACCGCTCCCTCCGAGTCTCCGCGGGTCTAACCCTAACCCTAACCCTAACCCTAACCCTAACAGCAGCGATACCCAGCCGGTGAGCGACACACATCCCGTGAGTCCCCTGTTCAGGCAGTCTCTCGGCCGGACAGTAGTCCCCTCCTGCCCCCGCAGCAGCTCCTCCTCCAGCCGGGGAGACTCGCTGCTCCTGGCCGGGATCCCTGCAGCTCTCCCCGCTTCACAATGGCTGGACACGAGTGGTTCGAGCGGGAGGAATTAATCGGACAGATCAGCGACATCCGAGTGCAGAACCTGCAAGGTAGGAGCATCCTGGGACGGAGGAGATATTAGAGTATAATATATGACTGTGTGATAATAAAACCTATAGTTGTAACGGGGTCTGTGCAGCAGCCACCATGCCCTGAACGCTGCGTTGCTCTCGGGATAGAGCCGTTCAGATGTGCGTAACTTCGGAGTGTTTGGGTGCTTTTCCAGAACACACAGTCCCAAACTCTTCTTACCAAGCTCCCCATATGGCACAGTAACTCATCTGAGTGTGAGCCCATATCGAACTGCTGTGTCCCACACAGTAACTCTGCCTGCTCTGTGGTATTTCATTCACAAGTGCGCAGTGTGAAGGGCAGCTGCTGGGTTTGTTGGTAGTAAAGTTAATCTTACTGCAGGACACATTAGTTTCAGATCTAACAAGAAAAGTGGTTTCGTTGTTGACTTAGAGAAAATCAACCTTATGTCTAATTTTGATTTAATTTGAGTTATCACTGGACAAAGGCTTCTGGTTTGGATAGAGAGAGAATTTGAGCTGCGTATGAAACCCTGTCCATCATACTGCTCCTCTGTTAGCGATCCAATAATTCAGAAAGATTTGGATTGCATGCATCAGTGTGGGTCTTTGCAAAAGGCATTCCTTTGCATTGTTTTTAGACTTTATTTAAGACAATCTAATCGATAAATTGATACAATTTAGCAGCTTTAGTGTGTTCTATGTTCTTGTGAATACAGCTGTCAAATAAACAGCAACTGAAAGTGTAAAAAGTGCTTATGAAGGAGGGCTTTAGTAGTTTTGTGTTGCTGTTTCTTAAAGCTGGACATTTTCAAGAGACGGCTTAATATGAATGATCAAAATCTAAATACTAGTCCCTACCAGTGGTTTAATTTCACTAAGTACATTTACTCAAGTACTGTACTAAAGTAAACAACCGAGGTACTTGTACTTCCTCACCTTTTCCAATACAACATTGACGTGATGAACATATAAATGCACTATACATTTAATACAATCATTTGAAATATGTGGTGCTTAAAGTGGACCTATCATGCTATATTTGAATAATATAGTGTAGGACCATACCTATATAAGGCATATTTATACTTTTTTTTTTTTTTAAATACCAAACATGATGCATTTTAGCCATGCCTCATTTTGCTCAATTTGACATTTTTTAGCTCTGTTTTTGCAAGGGCAGATTCTGTGAGAACAGCACCATCTACAGGCCTGGCATATGTACTACAGCGTCTCCAGCGCTTTCGAACGGCAATGGCCGTGGCTGTCTCCTCCTGATTGGTGGAGTTGGCCCAATAGCCGTAGCGCCACTGTCCTGACGTCAGGACAGTGTTCAAATCTGGATCAGTTTTTATCAGATCCGTTGCAGCCCCTTTTTTAGAGATTTGGGTATGGAGGAAAATAGAGAGGGTTGTGTTTTCTGACACTTGGTGAGTTCCCTGGAACACCGGGGACACATATTCATGTATAAAAGACGTACAAAAGTGCATTTTGCATGATAGGTCCCCTTTAAATGTGCCTTTCTGCATAATGAGTACTTTTACTTTTGGTACTTTAAGTAGTTTACACTGTAGTATTGCTACTTTTACTTAAGTAAATAATCAGAGTACTTCTTCCCCCTCTGGTCCCTCTGGTTTCTTTCATTATTTGTGTCTTCCTGCCCTAGGATCTGTCTCTGCTTTTTATCTGACAGAAAAGAGATATTCCACCAATTCATAATCTCTTTGTAGGCCCAGATTACATTCTAATCTACTTTTATTTTCTTCTCTCCAATGTTCTGAATGCTCTCTCACTGTGATATCAGAGCAGTGTATGTTCCTGAGTGGGGGGGCTGCTTGTTTCTGAAGCATTACCAGAACCTGATGTTCGCTGTAGATGAGGTCAGCGAAACACTTTTAGACATGAACCTCCACTGTACCCACTGGGATGATGTCACATGTTCTTTAGCTGGTCATTCACACAAATACAAGCCAAGAAAGTTACATCACACAAATGAGTGAAAAAAAGGTTTTCTTAGTCTGTGATTTGTGAGCCTTGAAGTGTAGTTCTATACTTACTGTAGGTCTCCTCATTTTCAAGCTGTTTTTCTATTGTGTTTTACGGGAGTTTATTATTGTATTCTGTATTTAGAAATGTATGACTGTAAATGCACCATAGATAGAAAGAGTACAGTGTGATTAAAACCCTTCTGTCTGGCGTCCACATTCAGACAGGCTGTCATTAAAGTAATGAGCAACAAGTCGGGGGTGACTTGCTCAGCTGTTTGAACTGCAGACTACAGTACTCTGTGCCAGGCTGTACAGAGATTAGAGGGGCACACTAACAACAGTTGCTCTCTAAAGTGGAAGAAATGGAGTTGATGAGGGAGATGAGAATGAGAGTTTTGTTCAGCTCTAACCTGGATCCTCCCAAAGCTACAGACAGAGAGAACTAGAAATATACCGTACATTCAAACGTCTCTTCGTATCGTATGTTTTGGCACACATTACAAGTAAGAACAATGAGTAAGAATAGAAGAGATGGATTATTAAATACAAGGCCTGCAAGTCTGGGATCACGATAAGAACACTATTGATAAGGCTTAAGCTGAGAACCTTTAGCAAACAGCTGCCTATTTCCACATCCAGAAGAAGCAGAGCAACATTATCGTCAATACAGTATTCTCTCAATTTAACTCTGGTTTGGTCTCCACCAACCCCTGAGAAAAATTAGGAACTGACTTGGGTCATTTTGGTCTTTGAGAGCATGATTACATGTTTACAAGACCAACATTTGCCTCCCTTTCACTTCCATTATTAAGAGGGAAAATATTTGTTCCGGTGCGATAGCAGATTTGCATCTTTGAATTTGCTTGGAGTTCGATTGGGTTAACTTTCAGAAGAACATAACGTCACCAGGACATATTCACACAATCAGAAAGAAAACAAAAAGTCACAGTCCAAAATAATAGTTTGGATTTGGTTTTTGGGATTTATCAGAGAATCCTGGTCAGAATAAGTCAATAAATCAATAATACTGGTTGATGCCAACATTTGTCCAACTGTATAATCTTCTATTACTCCTAGTGAAACTAACATTGGAGGTTTTGGTCGTAATGCTGCTGTGATCCCAGACCTCAGAAATCATTTTCTCAGTACAACCAATGCATTTTCAGGGTGCATTCACACCTAAAGTAGACAGCCAGTCACCCTGTGTGAGGCAGGCCACTTAACAGGCCAGGCCATCGGGAAACCCCCCGGTCCTCCCGATGGCCAGTCCGGGACTGGGTACAGGAGGCGTCGAGCGAGGGATCATTGTCCACAAGTTAATCGATCGCAGATGGCGTCGTGGTCGCGGACGAAAAAAAAAAATTAATATATATATATATATATTATAAAAATAAATAAATAAAAATATTAACTAAATGGGTCGCGAAATATACTTGGGCGGCCGTTAATATACCTGGGCGGCCCACCCAAGTATAGTCTATGTGTGGGAAACCGTGCTATTACATGTTCATGTGCATCTCGTGCATCTCGTGGGGCGGTGGTGGCGAAGTCCATAGGGACTTTGCTTGGCAACTGGAAGGTCACGAGTTCAAGTCCCGGAAAGACCAAGTGCTACCGAGGTGTCCCTGAGCAAGGCACCGTTCCCTACACGGCTCCCCGGGCGCCGTACATAATGGCAGCCCACTGCTCCTAACACTAGGATCGGTCAAATGCAGAGAAACCGTTTAGTTACATAGTACCTGCACTACGTAATGACAATAAGTTGAATCTTCTAACCTCTAAGCAGCACATTCTGTACAGGTCAGACATTAAATGTCCCTTTACAACCAGCATGTATCACATCTTTGCCCTGTGTGTGATTGGACAGAGGCAGTATGAGTGTGTACTCAATGTGAATATGAGTACACAGAGAGAGTACTCGTATTCTGTGTACTCTCAGAACTCTCAGAGAGTACACAGAGTACTCGTATTCTGTGTACTCTCATCCCATTCTCCCATGAGAATGGGATGAACTACTGATTGAAATGACTGAACTGAGCTCTCCGTGAACCTGGACCTTCATTCTCATAAAGCTGCAGTGTTTTGGTCCATGTTCCCTGCAACACTTGCGCATTAGCCTGAGCCGTCTGATGAGTGGCTGTGAATGTCTGCATGAAGAGATGTGTTAAAACAACGGCCTGCAGGCTGTTGCATAACTCATGATGAGACGAGCGGAGAGGGAGAGCAGATCTCTGCATCAGTCTCTGAACATCACACATCACACCCCCCCACCCCCAGCGCTCTCTCTGTCTCAGTTCTGTTGGGAGAAGGTGAGAACCATGGTGTGAGAACATGAGAGGGAACACAGGTGCTTTGATAACGGCTTGTGGTGTTCTTCCTTTACTTGACCCTTGGCTTCACAAACCTTCAGTGAACAGTACACTTTAAAGAGCATTTCACCTGTTCACCATCTCTGCTCGCTGTCCCGTCATGTTTGCAGCCATTGTGAAAAACAGATACTCCACAACACACTGTTGTTCTTTTTAGAATAACCCATAAAAAAGGGGCATTTTTTGTAATATGGGTTATCTTCAGCTGTCTTCAAAAATACCACTTCTTATCTGGTTTTCATGTTTACTCCTGGCTCGACATCAATCCTCTATGAGAAAATAAAATATTTCATACGTTCCTGGAAATTGTATTTATAAAAAGAAAGATAAAAAAGGAGGAAGAAACATGTGTAAAGGCTTCTAGTTATCAGAGGTATCAACATGTCAGAGTATCCTTAACCCCAAACTCCGTCATGTCACGGTACAGAGTGGTGCAGTGATGATGTATTTTTGTAGGCTGACCCAGAAGTTAGTATCACATGGGCTGCCTCGACAAAAAGCCAATGGGATTTTTCCATTGGATTTTGGTATTTTACAGAAATAATCTCAGTGGCAAACACACGTTAATGATTCTCACACATTTTGCTCAGCAGGATAATATCTATATAATTAACACCACTTAATGATTTTTGAAGCGTAAATGCAATCACCAAAAATAAAA